TATATATTATTGTAGCTATTGTATTTGTCAGCTCCAGAATTACTATTTAACTTCATTTGATGATTTATATCTCTTTGGTGAAACTCTTGATTTGGTAAAACATTATTTTCCTGGTTTCTTTCAGTTCTTTTCTAAAATTATTTTTTAGTTTTTATTTTTTAGGCAAGGCAATCCTTGTTTGACTTCACAGACTGCAAAGATCTTGTCATCTTATAATCCCTTATTTATTTTTTTAATTTTTACACCTACAGCAGCTGGTCTTCCTAGGTAGTCTCCCATCCAAGTACTAACCAGGACCTACTCTGCTTAGCTTCCAAAATCAGATGGGATTGGGCTTGTTCAGGGTAGTATGGCCATAGACTTCTTTCAGTTCCTTTTTCTATTGTTTCCTGTAGTTTTTTGAGAATCATTGGAATAGTTGTTTTAAAGTTTTTGTGTACTATGTGCAATATTTGGACTTGCTCAGATCCTGCTCAGAGACAGTGTCTTCAGTTTCTTTTCCACACTTTGCTCCTGTTCCTAGAATAGACTGTTCTCTGTTTATATTTATTTTCTCTTACATATATTAGGAGATAGCATTATTTCTCCATGTGTGATATCTACTTCAGAAGGTTTTCATTACCAAAGGACATTTTACAAATTTTATAAATACTATTACAGAAATTGATTCATGTACTCATTTCAAAAGTTCTATATAGATTATTATTTGACATTCATGATGACTTCTGTGATTCTTGAAGCAGAAGAGGCCTTTCTCTGAGACAGCAGGTGGGAAACAGAGTATCAGGTCTTGGTGGTTAACAAGAAGAAGAATCAAATCAGGAGCAGCATGTGCACATATCCTAACTTGCTCTTATAAAAGAAGAGATTGTAATGTGCAACTTTTTTTCCCTAATAAAAAATAAAAAAACACTAGGGAGTAATTTTAACTTAGAGATATCTAGATTTCCATATACATAATACCATTTATCTGTAGTTTCCCTTTGAGACTCAATATTCAATGGTCTCCATGGTATCATGTATTTATATGTTGTCTTGGTTTAATTTTTGAAGACTCAATCTGTATGTCTGATAACTCAGAATTTCTTAGTTTCATAATTATTGAATATTTTAATATAGGTTTTACTGTAAAGGGGCTTCTTTTCTCTTGGTTATGGCAAGAATTGTCCAAGGAGTTTCCCTGATCCTATTTTTTAACTGATGGGCCAACATTTGCTCATTGAGGTGGTTCCTTTTCTAACGTTTCTCTCATTTTCTACATCAGTGTGTAATTAAATTTTGGATACCAATAACAAAGTGTACATGAATAAGTAGATATATTTTCATTAGAATAATAAGCTATTTCAACAGTTAACAATAAAAAATCTAATGGTTTCATTAAGCAAAATAGAACTTGTCCACCATATCGTCCTAATCTTAATGGAGTTAAATATCTATTACTTACAGTATGAATTGACTTAAAATTCATTTATCAATGACAACAAATAAGTGTTTGGTAGTAAGGGATACTGTGGAAGTTTGTTGAAATGGGGAAATTAAATTTTGACAAATTTACTTTCTGCAACTTTATTGTACACAGTGTATTGTGTTGATTAGTTATGATAGAAGTGGCATGCTGGCACTGATGGTTGTGCAGATATAATACATTTCTCTCTGGAATTAAGTTATTGAAAGGGATACCTCATTTATTCTTACAATCGAAACAATAATCTGCAAAATCAGAAACAAACTGATATTAAACTATCAAAGTGTGTGATTTCATTTCTCTGTTTTCATGGGAATGCAGATCTAATCTCAATTTCCTTAGTGTAATGTAGTTATCATTGTTAACATTATTTCAATTTATATTATGATCACCTCATGGTCACTATGGTTGTTCATCATTATATTTATTATTACATTTTCTTTCATGGATCATTTTTCAGGTTGTTATTACATGGCCCTTCTGAGTCTCCAGACATGTTTCTAAATCACCTCAGGGACCAAGGAACTGTTCTTTTCTACCTAGAATATCAAGAGAAGGCATCACCTTGTCCCATAGCCTGCAAAAATATTCTATGTCAGTTTAGGTCCACAGGAGC